TACAGGATAAAGGATGATTTTCTCTTCCTTCCCTATCTGATATTGGCGCCACACAGGGATGAGAATCCCTTTAGAATGGCCGGCCATATAGGATAGAGGAAAAGAGGAGATTTGGTTTAAAAATTCAAATAGGAGATAATTAACAAGTTTTATCTTAGAGATAGAGATTGGATTCCTTCTAGAAGTTTGACTTCTACTCTATAAATACTATTTTTGAGACAATTTTCGGAATGGTTTTTTGCCCTAATTTTAGAGGTAGCCGAAATTTCTCTATAGAAATTTTGGAAACAATTTTTCAACCCTAAGGGTTAAGGCTGGCCGAAATTTTCAAGAGAGAAAGGAAGGAAAAATTTTTCTCCAAAAATTTCACATCGTGCATGTGATGGTGTTTGTGAAAATTTGAGTGTTTATTGTAACCCATTTTGTCTCATGTGTGCCCACACACACGTCTTCGTGGATTCTAGGAATTGATGTGGAAGACATTGGTTTTCTAAACACAAAGATTGGAGCAAGGACTGTTCGTGGTCAAAGAACTCAAGTTATCATCCGAGTCGGCTTCCAGGTATTTTTTCTGATTGAGTTCTTGATATATATAAGTTAATGAGATTAATTTATTCGTGCATAAATTAATATAATCTATAGAGTATCTCAAAAGTTTTATGAAAATTTTTGTTATACACGATCCGCCTCTTCCCCGCACCACCACGCTTCCGCAGCCGGATTCGATTCGGCAACCAACATAAACAAGATACCACAGTCAAAACCACATCAAAACCAAATTGATTAACATTGTGAACAAAGATCAGAAGCGGGAAAAAAAACTTTGATCTTTAGTTGAACAAATAAAGTCAAAAAAATTTACTCATTGAAAATAAAATAAGAATAGAGACACCTATTTTTTCTTACCTTATCATCATTAAAATCTCCAAAATAATCCTTGTAAAAAATAAATAAATTGTAAAAAGAAAATTTCAAATCACAAAAAAAAGGAAAAGAAAAGAGGAAAAAAAACAAAAACTTCAGAGATTAACCCAGATGAGTTCCACAATACACCGAAAGAAGAAAAGAAGAAAAAAAAAGGGATATAAGACAAAACCACGAAATTTGAAATCACAACAAAATGAAAAGAATATAGGGAAAAAAACCTCAAAGATTAACAAAAAAAAAGGATAAGACTAACCCTAAAAAACGAACGCAAGAAAAACAAAAATACCAAGAAAGGAAACATAAAAAAGAAAGCAAAACAGAAAACAAATAGTGAAAAAGTTAAAACTTCGCAACTTAAACCATGTCAACTCCAGAACACACTGTAAGAAGAGAAAAAAAGAAAAAAATTTAAACAAACAGAGAAAAAAATAGAGAAAAGAACCATAAAACCTAAAGAAAAAAAGAATTCAGAAGAAAAGAACAACATGAAAAAAAAAATTCAACAGCCAAACGGACATCTGCGACGAAGAGAAAAAAAAATAACCGGGAGAAGAGAAAAAAAACTAGAAGACCAAAAAACAGAAGGTGAAAGAAGAGAGAAATAAAAGAGCTGTAGCCAGCTGAAAGTAACAACACAAGAAAAGCAAAAAAACCAAAAAATAGAGGCACGTGTGTGAGAAAAAAGAAGGGAGGCCACAAAACGGGGGAAACAAAGAGCTCTATAACCAGCTGGAAGCAACAACACATATAGAAAGAAAAAAAATAGACAGCCACGTGTCTGAGAGAGGAGAAGAAGAGAAAAACTAAAGGGCAAAAAAGAAAAGACACTATTCTTTGAACAATAAAAATTGACCTCCTATAATAGTATTGTAGAATTTTTTTTTTTATAAAAAAGAGTAAGAATAAGAACTATTGAAAATAAGAGAGTTTCTCCGGCAGTCCTTATTATCGGTAGTTTTAGTTTTTGACCGTTAAATTTAATTAAAATCACATCATATTAAATAAATATACAACACATATAAATTCTAATGCAGATTTGATAGATGAAAAGTAAGACTATTGGTAGTTTATTTTTACAAAAAATATCAAAAAAAATTTGAGAAACTAAATAGGAAATAAGTGAACTGCTTTTTTTTTTTTTTAGAAAAAGGAAAGTTGCATTTTGTTTTCTTTTCTTTCAGGTAAAAATTTGAATTTTTTTATAATTGTAAAAATGTGGATTTTTCTGCTAAATAAAGAAGGAAATGTCCATTTTGTTAAAAACTTGGAGAAAATAAAAATCTTTAAACCCTAAACTCTCTCGGATGACTTTGAAATAGTATGTCTATATTGTATAAAGGAAAAAATAAAACCAAAATCGCGCACATTTGATGGTCGGCGTGCGCGAAAGACGCTAGAAGAAGCTTTCTGCTTCTCTCTCTCCCTGTTTCGAATTTATACTTTTCTTCTCTCTCTCTCTTCTTCTGCCGTGTAGTCTCTGCTCACCCATACGACGCTCCGATCCTTTTTTCTGTCGGGTCAAATCTCCGATTTCTTTTTCTTTTCAATCGAGGTTTGATTTGTTTAAAATATCTAAGGGAAAGATCTGTGATTTTGGATTTTTCTGTTTCCTTTTTCCGATATTTTATTCCAGAAAGTTTGGATCTTTTCCTCTCGCATTTGTACCTTTCCCCGTTTGGTTACTGAGAAAGTTTGGGAAATTGTTTAGGAAGGGAAAAATTTTGAACTTCGCCGCTGACGTTTTCACTTCAAAACATCTCATTTAGATCATTTTTTTTTATTTTTTATTTTCTCATTCGTAGGATTGAAGCGAGATGATTTGGGGACTTCTGCGCCGTAGAGTTGCTTCGGTACGGCAAATTTGCTTCATATTGTTTTGACCTAATGTGAATTATTGGCAAAATTTCTTGTATTGTGCTAGTTCTGAAGTTATATAATCATTTGCCCTTATGTATCAAGTAATGATTTTGGGTTTATTTTCTTGTAAAAAAAATGTTGCTATGGTTGCTTAAGTTTGATAATCTCTTTGCAATTCTTAATCAACAGTCTCAGGTGCTGGGACAAGCCTGGAGGGCTAGGCCTACAGTGTCCGGGTCATGCTCTTACCACACTGCTCGTAAAGAGGTATTACGACTGGGGAATTTGTTACTCTTCTGTTTTGTTGGTACTTGGTTGGAAGTTGCAATATGCTAATATGCGTTTTTGATAGGGTTTGTATATGTGCCAGTGAAAGTGATAGAATTTATAAACAATGTAAAGTAAATGACACATTTTTCTCCTCCTTAGTCTTACTCTCGAATGGGACATATTTTTATCATATTGCACCTCTTCGTTGTGGTGTTGTGGAAAGTATAATAAACATTTGTCTTTTGGGGTCTACTTTTGAACATCCGAATTGCTTTTAAATTTGCAGGCTTCATTGATTTGCAAAGAGATTGCTTGTGTCCAAAGCTCTAGCTACCACACCTTTTTAGGTAATCAGGGGACATTACTAATGGCGTTAATGATTTCCCAGGCGCTTTTCTTTGCACATTTGTTCCTCTTTTTTCCCCTAATTTCTTTTTATTCTTTTATTGCAGGCGGTCATGTTTATCCAAAAGCAAGCAGGTCACAGAGCTCTCTCTCACTTTTCAAAATATTTGTATTAGCATATTGAATTTCCTCTTTTTTTAACCTTATTCTCTTCGTTTGAACGAAGGATTATCGGTTTCTTTCTTCCATTTTTGTCATCTCTTTTTTGTTGATTTTGCTTTTGGCGGTTGGGTGCAGGGAAGTTAATACAATATCTCAAACAGAATCTTTTATCAGGATGAGCAATAGATCATTTTCTTCAGATAATGGTATTGTCCATTCATGGGCTTTTGTGTTTTCGGCTGTACATTTGATTTGTATATAGGACTGCTCTGAAAAGTTAGTTTTTGAATTGTGCAGGAGATGTGGTTGAAGCTGTTGTCCCTTTCATGGGTGAATCCATAACTGATGGAACTTTAGCAACATTCTTAAAGAGTATGTTACTAGTGAATGCTTGTTATCCTCAGTGCACTAAAAGTTGTCTTTTACTACTTTGTATTTTAAACTGTGTACGTGTACATGTACATGTATTGAGTGTCTTCTAATGCTTATGCCATATCACAATCAGAACCTGGTGACAGAGTTGAGGTTGATGAGCCCATTGCTCAAATTGAAACTGATAAGGTAATCTGTCTGTTGGAACTCATATGTTGCAATTTCTTCGTTTGAAGCACTGGGAATGTTTATTTCAGAAACTGAGTTTCCTGCCTTGTGTGTATCGTTAGGTGACAATTGATGTTGTTAGTCCTGAAGCTGGCGTGATAACAGAGGTAATATTAAACAGACACTGCAATCTAAATCCATTGGGATACTATTAATAATATTAATTCTTCCTCTTCTCTGCATTCACTGAAATATCTATATTATTGGAAATAGTTGTTGGCGAAGGAAGGTGAGACTGTTGAACCAGGCGTCAAGATTGCTGTCATCTCAAAATCAGGTGAAGGGGCACCACAAGTTGCTCCATTGGAACAGCCTGCTAGCCAGCCATCACCTCCCAAAAAGCAGGAAAGTGTATAAAATAAAACCCCTAAAGCAGAAACTGCCCCTGTCAAGGAGGCAAAGAAAGAACCATCTCCACCACCCAAGGCTAAGGGGCCTCCATCACCACCTAAACCCACAGAACCCCAGCTTCCTCCTAAGGACAGGGAAAGACGAGTGAGTTTCATTATTAGTTTGAAAAACGAGGTTACTTTAGATTGGTTTAAAGTTGCTTGACTTGCTTCGACAATTTCTTTTTTTCTTATGTCTAGGTTCCGATGACAAGACTTAGGAAACGAGTTGCAACACGCTTGAAAGATTCTCAGAATACATTTGCTATGTTGACAACATTTAACGAAGTTGATATGTAAGTTCAATAATTTGGCAATCTTCTAAGTCACTTTCATTTTAGAAGTTCTTTATTTTTCTTGCTAAAATAAAGAGCACACATTCACATTTAAAGCATGTTTCAGAAAAGGTGGTTCTTGGTAGGGGGAAAAAATGCACCAGTTGATGAAAACAGTTAAGCCCCGTTCATTTCGCTCATTCGAGTTTAGAATTCGAGTTTTGTTACAGTAAAAAGCTCTTCACATCTAACTTTTTTGCTACAGTAAAAAGCTCTCACACAACATTACATCTTAACTCGAATTAAAAACTCGAATTAACGAACCGAACGGGCCCTTAGTCTCTTGACGGTACTTTGAACAAGAATGCGGTGCAGAAGCTAACTCTGTTAATGCAGGACTAATTTGATGAAGCTCCGTTCAGATTACAAGGATGCCTTTGTTGAAAAGCATGGAATGAAATTGGGTCTCATGTCAGGCTTTGTGAAAGTATGGGGCTTCTTTAATTTCTTGTATATAGCAGTCTTTTCTTGAAAACTGAATTAGTGTATTTATTTATTCTCTTTTTTTTCTATCTGTTTCAGGCTGCCATTAGTGCGCTTCAGTATCAGCCAGTTGTTAATGCTGTCATCGATGGGGATGATATCATATACAGAGATTACGTTGATATAAGTATTGCAGTGGGCACCCCTAAAGTATGTCCTCTGGCTTTTCTTGTTTAAAACCCTCCAAGGATTTGATTCTTTTTGTTTTTTTTTCTGATTTTTTTTTTGAAGTAGATTCTTTTTTTCTTACTCTTGTTTAGCTAACAAACGGTAATTCATTTTTTATTAAAGGGTCTAGTAGTTCCTGTTCTCCGCAATGCTGAGAGAATGAACTTTGCCGAAATAGAGAAGGAAATCAACACTCTGGCTAAGAAGGCAACTGACGGTTCTATTTCAATTGACGAGATGGCCGGTGGTACATTTACGATATCTAATGGTGGTGTTTATGGAAGCCTTTTGAGCACACCAATCATCAACCCTCCACAGGTATTGCTTTACACCAAACCTCACGTTCCGTTGTGATAAACTCTTTAATTAGTGATTTTTCAAGAACATAGTATCTCCATTGATTCTTTTATTAAGAAAAAGAGAATCTCACCCACCTCCTTCTTACCCTTTTGGCAGTCTGCTATATTGGGAATGCACTCGATTGTGAATCGTCCCATGGTCGTTGGAGGCAATATTGTGCCAAGGCCAATGATGTATATTGCACTGACATATGACCATAGGCTGATTGATGGAAGGGAGGCTGTTTTCTTCTTGCGCCGTATAAAAGACGTCGTGGAAGACCCTCGCAGACTTCTCCTTGATGTATGAAGAAGAAATCTTTCTAGATTATGGATTTGCAAGATAAGATACATGCAGTGCTGCATAAACTAGAAATAATTATACCTTGGGAGTTTCCAAATTTTGTTGAGGTCTACTTAATCTTTTCCATGTTAGCACTGTGTCAATTGCAACGGCAAAAAGTATTTCGCAAGAGACGCGAATTGTTTGGTTTACATATTTCAGTTCTTCCATATGTTCCATCGTTGCTGATGTATTTCATCAAACGCCTGTTCTTTATTGGTATAATTGTGTATCACAAAGATCTTTTCTTTTTTCTTATCAAAAAAAGATCTTTTTATTTCCATAATCTCAAGTGCATTTTTTAGCTTGTCATTTTCTGGGAATGGTTGGTTATTTTCTTTAAGGCTTGTTTCGTGACTTGTCAAAGGTCCTGATAGTATTTGGTAGACTTGTAGATCTCACATGTAGTAACAGCACGCACGACGGCTATTTTTCCATTAAGCATAATGAAGCAAGGCAAAAACTTTTTTTTTTCCATATGATCATAGCAACTACTCAATGCAGCTTAATTATTAGGCCCAGTTCATTTTGTGGGGTTGAGTTGAAAATTTGAACTAAATTCTAAATTTTAATGAGAGAAAACACTATATCAAAGATGTTGAATTGTAATTTAAACTACGAAAAAAAACTACTTTGTATTTTGCCCATTGGAATTTTGATATACTTCAGAAGTAGTCATTTTCTACTTGGATGCTTCATATGCTTGCAAATCTCAAAAAGCAGCATCTTGTTCTGTAAGAGACATAAACAGGTCACAAAATAGTAGATCTTCTTCCTCGGATCATGTGGGGGATAATTCTCACGTTATAAAAAGAAATCTCATGTCTGCTTCAGTCAATTTTCCCAGAGCCTCTGAGGAACCACCTACAGTCCTGTCAAAAGCCCCCCCCCCAAAAAAAAAAAAGTTTATAAAAACAAGGGTAAAGCAAAACTGTAACTATATAGCTGGAGGAAATTACTCCAACTAAATGAGCTCATTATCTATATAAAGAGTCAAAGAAGCCAAAAAAAAAAAAGCACTGTTACTATATAAAGAACTCAAGACAACAAAGATATCTTACCCTTCAAACACTAGTTCCTTCTTATCTTGCAGCTTGAGAATCCTCTCCTCGATTGAATTCTCAATCACGAATCTCACAATTCTGCACAGACAAAAAAAAAAAACGTAGGAGTCCCATCAAAGATAAATCAGCTTAAATGGATAAAACATGATCATGAAGTTAAAAAAAAAATAAAACTAATAATAATAATAATGTGTAGTAGGAAGCAGGAAGACAGACCTGATTGGTTTATACTGCCCTATTCGGTGGATTCTATCTTGTGCTTGCCGCTCTACAGCTGGATTCCACCAGGGGTCCATCAAGAACACCTACATCGGCCCATAGCAGCCATTTATTTATTGCAATAAACCAAATAATAATATTCAATGTACATGTACCTATATATATATATATGTATATGTTACTTACGTGTGATGCGACGGTGAGATTGAGAGCAACACCACCAGCTTTCAAACTCATGAGGAAAATCCTGCAATCTGGATCCTCAGTGAATTTCTTAATAGCAGCATCTCTGGCATTCAAAGTCATGCTTCCAACCAACTGAACACATTTTATACCAGACTGCAAAAGGTTCATCACACGTTACTGCGCTAGTACACCCTCTTTCGAAAAGAAATAATAATAATAATAATAAAAAGAAGCTGAGCTAGATTTTAGTATTACCTTCTGCAAAGAGTAGTTTATGAGATCCAAGAATGATGTGAACTGGCTGAAAACTATTCCTTTGGCAGAACCATCCCCCTCGACCATGAATCTGATTTCTTCCCTCTAGAGCCACATAATTTTACTTAGCAATAGGTATAAAAAAGATAGGAAACTATGGGATATATTCACACTCCAGATCGTTGAAGAAGCATATCAAGAGAAGAAAAAAAAAAAAAAAAAAAAAGGGAAAAAAAATCATCGTCTGAAAGCAGATGACAGTTCTCCAGCAAGAATTGAATAAAATTATGTAACAAACGGATTTGTCGATTGATCACAGATACGCTCAACCGGATTCTTTAATGTAATTCAGGAATACAGTTACCCAAGAAGGTAGACAACCGAAACCTTTGTGATAATATCCTTTCATTTTGTAAGTCTAGACGCATGTTTTTTGCAAAATAAATAAATAAAAATCCATGTTAAAATGTCATTTCATGATGCCTCACCTACCATCATAAGCAACTTGATGTTTATTTCAGGGCATATTCTCTCTTTTCAAGTAACTTCTAGAATACCTCAAGAGGCATTGCAATTAAACACAAGTAATTTTGCCATAATTTTTAGGGATATACAGCATACAAGGCTTCTCCCCGAGCCAAATAGTAGCTTGTCTATTGAAATGATTACGTCAACTAAAGAACTTAGAGACAAACATGCTGCATAAACTGATTGCAATCCTACATACCAGAGCCTCTATCTTTGTGCTCGTTTGAAACTTGTCAAGTTCAATTCTGTTTAAAATACTCGACGACCTAAAGCCCTTAACGGTAGTTTTACTAGTCTTATTGGTGGTATCTGGATTTGTTGTGAAATCAACAGTAAGCAATTTTGAGCATGAAGGGCACGAGACTTCTCCCAAGGAATCAGAATAATCAAGCAAACAAGCCTTGCAAAAGATGTGTTCACAAGAAGTAACCTGAAATATTAAAAGAAAAAAAGATATAAACGACGCACATTACAAATTAAAAGAAACACAGCTAAATGAAGAAACAACACTAATTTTTATATTCTCGTGAGAAAAAAAGAGTAAATTATCATGGAACTCTTTAGATAAAAAACTAGAAAATCTAGATATAATTACAATCATGGCATCTAAAAGGCTCCTTTTACAACAATTTCAACTATAGAAATAAAGCAACACATTACTTGGCATCTTTCTCAAATATCTAGTTGAAATGACATGAAGCTCATAGATGCCAAGAGTCTCGTATCTGGCTTAGAGTAAAATGTAAAAGACAAACACCATGACAGAAAACATGGTCGAGTTCCCAGCTAATGTAATAGCATAGCATCATTACAAATCCAACTTAGTACTATAAATTTCATATCATATCTATTCTATGGGTCAAATACGATTCTTAACAATCCAGCTTCGTTTAACAAACATACAATGGGTACATAATTTAAACAGTCGCGTTATCATGACAAACTGCAAAAATCAAAACCACTTAAGGGTCTTCATGCAATGACGTGTGAACAAGTGGATCAGACAAGCTTAGCGGAAGTAGCACCAATTCAAAATTGTGAAATTAAAAGTAAAGTGATGGAAACATAAAAAGAGGAACTGACCACATGATCTTCTGCTGGGTCATGACAAATGCCGCAAACTCGTTCAATCTTAGCAGTATCCACCATGCTTGCATTCCGCATAGCAGAAGTCGGAGAATATACCACGAGGTAAGGATGGTCAACTGACTGCAGTAAATAAGAGAGAAATTAGTAGCACATTGAAATTGAATGCAAAATTACCAAGAACTGAGAAAAGGACAAAGCAGGGGACGGATTTTTTTTTTTAACAATGGAATATTATACTTCACAGGGCTCAAGTCCCAATTTAAGGGAAAAGATTTTTTATCAAGCGATTTCAATAAAATAAATAATCACCTGGCGCAAACGTGTGAGAAGGTCAAATATGTGAGCGTAATTATTCATCACTGTTCCTGCTTTGACATATCTAGAAGGAAAAAAAAAATTTATGGTATACAACCATTCAAAAGATCAATTATTTACACCAATGCCTCATATAGTATATTATAGCTTGCTGATAACCATACAGGAAAATTGATCTTTACAATAAAAGTTGCAAACACCAAGAAAATTCATTGAAAACAGTACCAGAGACCAAAAAAAAAGAAAAAAAAAAACTTTATGACCACAAAGATTAATAAAACAAAGAGATAGGTCATATACGTGTTAAATTGCGCCTGACTATCATTGTACACTGACTGATAATAGTCCTGCTCTCTAACATCCAACGAGTCCTTCCTCAATGACACCTATGGTAGAATTGTGATATGATTCAGAAAGTTGAATACATCAAGTTGCAATAGCAGCCAAAGAGCTAGAAATTACAATTCTTGGAGGGAGTGCAAGATCAGCAGCCCTGCCCTTCTTAGTTCGCCGCAGCACAATGCTCTTTAATACTTTGTGTTTTAACAAAATCATGGCCCTTCTTCCTGAGTCTAGATTTGCTTCTGATTGTATTGGCTTAGCCACATACTTGCAAGGTTAAAAATTCATGTTAGCTTATAGAGACTACGGCGCAAATCAAAAGTAGATAATATAATTGATCAAATTCCAAATTCACCTTATTCCACCAACAAAAATGCCTAACTGATTTATGAGGGCAGTTTGGACACTGTGTTGAGGAACTGCAAAAAGGCATCAGAGTGACTAAATCACGAAAACAACAACAAAAGCTGAAATATTTGATTAAGAAAACAAAAACAACAAAAGCTGTAATATTTGCTTAAGAACAACATTTTATGGTAATAGAGCGTGAAGAAGAAAAGGAGAAGAATGCATAAATTCATAAGTGGACTATAAACAATTAACTTGATAGTCAATTCTAAGTTAGCAAGATCACAAACAATATGTACTAAGATCATACCTATGATCAAGAACCGAGCAATTACAGTCTTTACAAAAAAAATATGAATATGGGATTATTTGCAGAAAGCGGACCTGTGGAGACAAATTGTAACAATATAAGCTAGAAGGAAGAAAGCTTCATTTTCAAAATCAACTTTTTAATGTACAGTAACTCACCAAAGAGTACAGTTCTCCAACACGATTTTGAATGGGAGTACCACTTAAAGCCCATCTGTATGTGGACTCCAAAGCAAGAACAGCTTTGAAAGTATTACATTGTCGAGATTTTATATAATGCGCCTAAAATTGAGGGGTAAGAAAGTTAAGCACATTTCCATGAGGACTCAAAAATTAAAAGGGAAAAAAAACCCCAAAAAAAAAAAAAAAAAAAGCCTGTCAAAACTTAATAACAAATTTCTTGAGAGAGAACAAAACAAGCCAAAATATCAAGAATAAATAGTCAAAAAATTTAAGGTATGCATGTCAACACTGAATTTCTATAGTTATACAAGCTCTCAAATGGTTAGGTTGAAAAAGCATACATCTGCAAAAAGACAGCATGAAGTTATAACAACTATTGAATTATCTAATTAATATAAGATATACAGAATAAGTGCATCATTATTAAAACCTCATCCAAAATGATACGGTCCCACTTCACTGCATGCAAAAGTGATTTTCCCCTGGCTTCCTCACTATCAAGATCCAAATCCACATCAGCTTTCTTCTTGTATTGCTTTATTGTCTTGCCTTTAGAAGATTTAGAATCCAGCTTTGATGTTGAGGCTATAGATTTTGGGTTCTTCCTTTGTTGCTTAGATTGCTTCTCAGTTTTAACAGCATTGGGCCCACAATAATATGTTAAGTGTACCCACATCCTTCTCTTAGCGAACATCTTGCCACAGTAAGAGCATCTCTCTTTTGGAGGCATTATGCACTTTCTGTACTCGCCTTCAACAATGGAATACGTAGTTATGACGAAATCATACTCTGAAAAGTGTTGAAAATTTTTCTCTCTATTGGTGCCATGATAAACCAAAACCTTTGTGCTCCCCTTCGAAGTAAACCTTTCTATCTCACCTACCCACTGGCTCACAGCAACCACAGGACATATTACAAGGGTAGCTTTAATTCCAGACAAGCTTGTAGATGAGCTTGCTCCAATTGGTTCACAAGTTGCCTTGCGTAATTCTCTTTTGGCAAGAACGAGGGCAATTGCTTGGAGGGTCTTCCCCATTCCCATTTCATCTGCAAGGATTCCACCTCTAGCTAAAGAACTTTCTTGTTTCAAAGCCCAGGCCAACCACTCCTTTTGATACCTCAACAAATCCACAATCAGATCAGATGAGCTTTCCGCAGTTTCAGTCACTATTTCATTCTGTTTATCTAAATCAAAATCTTTCGCTATGTTCTCATCAATCCATCTCTCATGCTCGTCTTCCAAAGTATTCCACAGCCAGATTGACTTTTGCTTTTTTGACCTACCCTTCTTTTTGTTCACCCCAAGATTGCCATTTTGTTGAATAGCATGGTCTTCGCCATCACCTGTTATCTCATGGTCTTCGCCATCACCTGTTATCTCTACTTTAGAATTTTTCTTTCTTCCCACCTTCCTCCTTTTCGAAGACTTGTTGTAGCTATCTTCACCTAAATTATATTTTCATTCTGTGTTATTAATACATGCGGCAAGAAAATGGGCAATTAGGAGTTCCAACGAAATACAGTCCTATAAAAAGAAGAAAAGAAAAGGAAACGAAAATACAACTCCAAACACAACGCTCAAAAATTTAAACTCTACAATTAACAATGATTGTGTCAATTCTTGACAGTTTTTTTCATGCTCATAAATATTTTCTATCAATGCACATTCAGAGTTCATTTTCTTAATTTCTTTATGTGCCTACAGAAAGAAAAGAACATTTTATCCGACCCGTTAATCTATGAAAAGCATTAAAAGAATTTACCTTCATCAGTAGGGTCATCGTCATCAGATTCTGAAGATAACCCCATGTAAATTTCTTCGTCAGAGCTATTGGGCTTCTCCCCATTAGAGTCATCTTCGCTTTGATGTTCATTTCCTGCTGTAATACATAACATCAGTCTATAGACCCTCAATTCGGTTCCTACGAAACCTTATTAAAACAAAACAAAACAAAACAAAAAAGAGGGCTATATAAAAAATATAAAAAAAAAAAAACGGGAAAACAGAAATCATTCTAAAAAAAAAAATAGATTCATCCAAATTCTCTCCGAAACTGAAAATAGAGATTCTCGACACCCAAACGGGACAAGCCTCGCAGAAAACAACCAAAAAATGGGAAAAAAGAAAGACAAGGGTTTGAATTTACCATCAGGAATGGAATCGGGTTTCCTTCTATGGGAACGAAGCTCCATTAATGGAAGAAAAAGAGAAACTAGGGTTAGGTTCTTGAGAGTTGCAGAGACAGAATTTCCTATGAGTAAAGAGGTGAAGAAGGCACGAGAGAGACGGCGATTAGAGGCCTCGATTCTCGGGTTTAGTGAAATGGCATTTGGAGTGTGTGGGTGCTGGAGAACGGCGGGAAACCTCTCTTTTATAGTGAGTCTGCCCACGTCATCCTGGTCCCACAAGAGAATCCTCCCTTGATAATGGCATTAATTACAAAAGAAAAAAAAAGTCATGGGGTTATGAGTAACTAAAAGCCATTGGCGGAAAAAGAAAAAGGAAAAAAAAAAAAAAAAAGATATAGAACATGATCAGTGAGATTAATTTTTTAACCATATGATGCGTGAGTAGCAACAGTATTATTTTGGCTCCGTTCATTTCGCTGATTCGAGTTTAAAATTTAAATTTTGTTACAGTAAAAAGCTCTCACATAAAATCACATCTCAACTCGAATTAAAAACTCGAATCAGCGAACTAAACGGACCCTTTAAGGTTTACCTTAATAGATCAAAACCATTAAAACAATATATTTTTTTTTATCAGAATAGCAATTCCTACTCTAAAAAGTTCCTGAATTTTTAAAACAATTTAGAATTTAAAAATAGAAAAACTTTATTATCTATAAAAATGCTTAAATAGAGCATTTTTAATCTAAAAACTATTTTTTTGTTTAATTACAATAATGTTTATATTGATACATGTAAAGACCTATATTATAACCTGTTGAGCAAAAAAAGACCTTTACCGAACATTGTTAAGGAGAGCGTAATTGATATAGTAAATGACAATATCAATAGCAAATCAAAATTGATTACAAATAATGTCTGTGGTTGAAAGGGAAATTGACATGTAAAATATGATCAGGAAACCAATAATTACATGAAATCACCACATAAAGAATGTGCCCAAAGTAAAAACACCCTTTTTTAAAAAGTGAAAATACCATATTACGGTCCCGTTCATTTCATCGATTCGAGTTTAAAATTTGAGTTTTGTTATAGTAAAAAGTTCTCGAGAACAGTTATATATATATATATTTTTTTTGCTACAGTAAAAAACTCATATAAAATTACATCTCAACTCGAATTAAAAACTCAAATCAGTGAACTAAACGAGTCATGTATGTTATTGAAAGTTCGATTTTTTTTATAATATTATATATAAGTAGACATTCTTAAGGATAAGACTTCTAAAATAGACATTGTATGTAATTATTTCAACTAGTATGCATAAATTGTTCGTGTGCAACTATACATGTTAGAGTATGTTCAAGAAATAACTATTGTTCTCTACCATTGTGGTAGAACATTATTTTAATTTCCTGGCCCACGTAGTGGGGCGCTCAGGGACCGGGATGGGTTAAAAATTCACATTTTTATTTATGTTTTGCATTTTAAAATTAATATACGATTTGTAAGAATTAATGCAATAAGCGGCACTATTTTCTTATGAATATTCTATTCTTTATGATTTTCTTTATTTTTTGTCTTTGAAAAATAAAATAAAATAAAAACGACGTCAAAAATTTATGAAAATTTGCAGCCACGATCCTTACATTTTTCTAGGCATGCCTGCAAAAAATACACCCAAAAAATGACAAAAAAAGTAAAACCCTGCCAAAAGCACCCAACCCGTGTAGTGGGGCGCTCAGGGGTCGGGATGGGTCAAAAATCTATATTTTTATTTATGTTTCTTATTTTAAAATTAATATATGATTTTTAGGAATTAATGCAAGAAGCGGCACCATTTTTTGATTAATATTCTATTTTTAATGATTTTCTTTATTTTTCATCTTCCAAAAATAAAATAAAATAGAAACGACGTCAAAAAATTATGAAATTTTGCAAACACGATCTTTACATTTTTCTAGGTATGCCTGCAAAAAATGGCCTAAAAATGACAATAAAAAGTAAAACGATGTCAAAAAACCCCCTGCCCGGATAGTGGGGCGCCCGGGGGCCGGGATGGGTCAAAATTTTACAATTTTATTTATGTTTTTCATTCTAAAATTAATATATGACTTTTAGAAATTAATGCAATAAGCGGCATCATTTTTTTATGAATATTCTATTTTCTTATGATTTTCTTTATTTTTTTATTTGAAAAATAAAATAAAATAAAAACGATGTAAAAAATTTATGAAAGTTTGCAGACACGATCCGTACATTTTTCAGGGCATGCCTATAAAAAATGGCCTGAAAAATGACAAAAAAAAAGTAAAACGCTCTCAAAAGCCCCGGGGCCGCGTAGTGGGGCGCCCAGAGGCCGAGATAGGTAAAAAATTTACATTTTTATTTATTTTTTATATTCTAAAATTAATATATGATTTTTATGAATTAATGCAATAAGCGGCACCATTTTTTAATGAATATTCTATTTTTTATGATTTTATTCATTTTTCATCTTTGAAAAATAAAATAAAATAAAAATAACGTCAAAAGTTTATAAAAGTTTGCAGACACAATCCTTACATTGTTTTGGGCATGCCTGCAAAATGGCCTCAAAAAATGACAAAAAAGTAAAACGTTATCAGAAAGCCCCCGGCTCGCGTAATGGGGCGCCCAAGGGCCGGGATGTGTCAAAAATTTACATTTTTATTTATGTTTTACATTCTAAAATTAATATATGATTTTTAGGAATTAATGCAATAAGCAGTATCATTTTTTGATGAATATTATATTCTTTATGATTTTCTTTATTTTTCATCTTTGGAAAATAAAATAAAATGAAAATGACGTCAAAAATTTATGAAAGTTTGTAGACTCGATCCTTACATTTTTCTGGGCATGCGTGCAAGAAATGACCTCAAAAAATGACAAAAAAAAAGTAACACTGTCAAAAAGCCCCCACCCCGCGTAACGGGGTGCCCAGGGGCTAGGATTGGTCAAAAATTTACATTTTTACTTATGTTTTGCATTCTAAAATTAATACACAATTTTTATGAATTAATTCAACAAGCGGCACCATTTTTTTGATGAATACTCTATTTTTTATGATTTTCTTTATTTCTCGTCTTTGAAAAATAAAATAAAATAAAAACGAAGTCAAAAAATTATGAAAGTTTACAGACACGATCCTCATACTTTTCTGGGCATGCCTGGAAAAATTGGCCTCCAAAAATGATAAAACAAGTAAAACGCTATCAAAAAGCCCCTCGTCTGTATAGTGGGGCGCCCAGAGGCCGGGCTGGGTCAAAAAATTACATTTTTATTTATGTTTTACATTCTAAAATTCATATATAATTTTTAGAATCTAATGCAATAAGCAGTAACATTTTTTGATGAATATTCTATTTTTTATGATTTTTTTTATTTTTCATCTTCAAAAAATAAAATAAAATAAAAAGAAAAGTTTGCAGACACGATCCTTACATTTTTCTGGGCATGCCTGCAAAAAAAATGGCCTAACAAAGACAAAAAAAGTAAAACACTATCAAGAAGCATCCAACCCGAGTAGTGGGGTGTCCAGGGGCCAGGATGGGTCAAAAATTTACATTTTTATTTATGTTTTGCATTCTAAAATTAACATATGATTTTTAGGAATTAATGAAATAGGCGGCATCATTTTTAGATGAGTATTCTATTTTTTATGATTTCTTTTATTTTTTAAGGAATAAAATAAAATAAAAATGACGTCAAACATCTATGAAAGTTTGTAGACACGATCCTTACATTTTTCTAGGCACGACTACAAAAAATGGCCTAAAAAAAAGTAAAACGCTGTCAAAAAGCTCTCAGCCCGCGTAGTGGGGCGCCCAAGGGCCGGGATGGGTCAAAAATTTACATTTTTATTTATGTTTTGCGTTCTAAAATTAACATATAATTTTTATGAATTAATGTAATAAGCGACACTATTTTTTGATGAATATTCTAATTTTTATTATTTTCTTTATTTTTTGTCTTTAAAAAATAAAATAAAATAAAAACGACGTCAAAAATTTATGAAAGTTTGTAGACCAGATCCTTATATTTTTCTGGGCATGCTAGCAAAAAATGGCCTCAAAATATGAGAACAAAGTTAAATGTTGTCCAAAAGACCCCCGCCCGTGTAAGGGACGCCCAGGGTCCGGGATGGGTCAAAAGCTTATATTTTTATTTATGTTTTGCAGTCTAAAATTAATATATGATTCTTAAAAATTAATGCAACAAGCAGCACTATTTTTTTATGAATATTCTATTTTTTATGATTTTCTTTATTTTTTGTCTGTAAAAAATAAAATAAAATAAAATAAAAACGATGTCAAAATTTTTTGAAAGTTTGCAGAGACGATACTTATATTTTTTTTTGGGCATGCCTGCAAAAAATGGCCCCACAAAATAACAAAAAAAAGTAAAACGCTATCAAAAGGCTCTCAACCTGCGTAGTGGGGCGTTCAGGGGCCAGGATGGGTCAAAAATTTGTATTTTAATTTATGTTTTGCATTCTAAAATTAATATACAATTTTTAGGAATTAATGCAATAAGCGGCACATTTTTTTGATGAATATTCTATGTTTTATGATTTTCTTTATTATTTCTCTTTGAAAAGTAAAATAAAAAAAAGACGACGCCAAAAATTTATGAAAATTTGCACACACGATCCTTACATTTTTCCATGCATGCTTGCAAAAAATGGCCACAAAAAATGCCAAAAAAACTGTAAAATGCAATAAAAAAGCCCCCGGCCTGAGTAGTGGGGCGTCCAGGGGCCGGAATGGGTCAAAAATTTATATTTTTATTTATGTTTTGTATTCTAAAATTAGTAGGTGATTTTTAGGAATTAATGCAACAATCGACACCATTTGTTAATGAATAGTCTATTTTTTATGATTTTATTTATTTTTTGTGTTTGAAAAATAAAAGAAAATAAAAACGATGTCAAAAATTTATAAAAGTTTGCAGACACGATCCTTACATTTTTATAAGCAAGCCTGCAAAAAATGGCCTAAAAAATGACACAAAAAGTAAAACGTTGTCAAAAAACCCCTGGCCCGTGTAGTGGGGCGCCCATGGGCCGGGATGGGTCAAAAATTGATATTTTTATTTATCTTTTGTATTCTAAAATTAATATATAATTTTTAGGAATTAATGCAATAAGCGAGACCATTTTCTAATGAATAT